CTCGCACGATGAGGGCGGAAATGTTCATCTCAATGTGAAGCTTGAGCATGTAGACAAGAGGGTGGAATTGCACGTAACTATGCGGGTCAGTCATTGAGGCCTAGCACCAGCCATTTGGAGCGGCGACTTACATGAAACCATTGCCGATAGACATGCTGCCAATGAGAATAACGTCCAAACTCATGGATATAACAATCATGACAAGATTGTATCGCATCAGAGGCTGGTACTTGGTAAGACCATTGGCGATAAGCTTGATCCGAATCAGGTAGACGAAGTACCCGTGTAGTGTTGCGTCGATGACCAGGAAGAGACCCTTCTCAATGCGATCCCAAATGTAGTTGATGTCATGGTAGCGCTGGGAGATTTGCAGCTGAGAAGGAATCCAAATGCAAAAAACACTGATGTTAATGAGGCCAAGGGTAATGGCAGTTATCCATCGAATCTTGATGGCGTTTCGTCTGTCGACCATAAGGAGAGAAATTCGGTTGATGATGATTCCACAAATGCATTGAATTTGGACAACCCAGGCGCACACTAAGAGACCAGTCAGTTTCGTGTTCGTATAATGTTTGAAGGATGTATCGTACGGAGAACAAAGAAGATCCAGAAGCTAAGAATGACTGGTCAGTTCTATTGCCTACCAATTTGACGAGGGCGATAACATACCTGGGAGCAATGTAACCACGGATAAAACACCATGACAAAACTCCAATCAACATCGAAGCCAGCCATTCGGCCCAGATCATCCAGACGTAGGCCTTAGCCCGTCCTGTGCGCTTCCACTGATCCCATGTCTGCTTTCCCGCCTTTTGGCCCGCAAAGATTCCAACAGCGAGAGTAAAACCCCAGATGATACTGGCGACCAATTGATCGGTAGTGCTGGGCTTCACGTATACGTAGTGATCCGGTATTAAGAAACCCGCCATTGTGAGATCGAATCGGGAAATAGTGACTGAAACAAAGCGAAACAAGCAAACAGCCAAGAAAGACGAGTAGACAGGGTTGCGACAGGAAGACGGCCTTTAAGCAAGAAAAAAAGAATGGCAAATCCCTGCCAAGCCCCCGAAGTAGATCGGAATCTTGCATGATGGGGTTTTTAGAGGTTCCAGAAGCCCCGGCAGTCTGGTGAACAGACCGAGGTGGTGAATCCATAGATCTACCAGATGGGCAAATGAGAAGTGCGCGCAGTGGCGGACCGCCGTTCGCTAGTGTTTTTAGGTGAAGATGGCGTACAAGATTATTCCGTGCTAATGGATAGGGGGCTCGTTTTTGTATGGCTAACCGCCTGTTCCGCGTGGGCGGCACGTGGATGTTCGAGTCATTACGGCGGGCTTAGTTTGGGTTTCGGTTTTGCTAGTAGGGGGGTTCTTTGCCGTGCCAAGTTGATTGAGGGCTGTGAAAAGCGTTGAGACTCTAGAGGATGGTAATTTCTTTGGAGGTTTTGATGTCATTTGCTTTGGATACGAGGTGGAGCTTGGTAATTGAGCTGACAGAGAAGATGTTGACTCTGATGGGATACGAGGAGACACCAGCCTGCTTGATAGGTTGCTTCTCCCGGCTCCGTCGCAGTGTCGTATTAGAATGAACCTGATTCATTGAGAACAACTTTGGGCAAAAGGCCAAGAGATATCTTGCAGTAGCATTGCTCCTTGAATCGTGGGTTTGAAGCTCGGCGTTGCAATCCGCCAATCTCCCGAGAGCCTGGATATTCAAGAGATGGATCTGAGTAGATCATGCCTCATGTGGGCTAGTCGTCGCCACCAATCGACCATCCCTGAAGGATGAACTGCTTAAAGTAGACAAGTCTGTCTGTGCTCAAGCTGGAGACTCACTGACTCGATCTTGTTGAGGCAAACCTCTGGCTCTGGCTCTGGCTCTGGCTCTTGAGACTACCGTATGGGGACGGCAATCTCTGCCTGTCCATGTCGCGTGGCAAAATGAAGCTAATTGATGAAGATTTTCTGTTAATTTCATCAATCATGCCCCGCTCGGGATGTGGAATTCCCGTGACTTGAGAGCAAAATGATCGCTAGCTCAGGGACAATTGACTTGGTCGACCATCCATGCGACCCCGCATTCATCTTTGGTGGCTACGCCGACGATCGAGCCCACGCAAAGATGCAGGGTAGATTGAGGGCAAGGGGAAGATTCGATTAAAGTGTTGCCAGCAAACCCGTCTTTTCGTCGTGGTGGCTTTATCAGATCAATCTGCGATCTTTCCAAGGTTGGGCAAGTGTCTTATCGGCGCATTGTTATTTTCAGACTGGAAAGCATGATTGTTTATGGACGATATTGGCTCGCGTATTCGATCAATATGAAATGAGGATGCATAAACCCACCTCAGATCTGGTCCCAACAACCAGCGATGGTCGCAGAATGTTCCACCTAGGCTTCACCCATTCAACTATCAGATCTGTGATAGCTTGTTGTTTTTCTCTGGCTTCTTCTAATTATAATTACTTGCGTGAATGTAATTATTTGCGCAGCTGCATCCTAGATTGGTCAGCCTGCATCCGCGTCTGTTAGGCTGGTGCAGTGTTGGAAACGGCCTGTGCTCAGCCCGCGCGACACCAACAAACACGAAGCGCGCCACTACCGTCGCTGAAGCCACAGCCTTGGCGACATCAACTCACAGAATACATCTTGGGGATCAATCGCTATCTCAGTGGCTTTGTGTCACTGTGCGTAGAATTGGTTTAGAGGCACGTCTGTAAAAGCGAGAGTATCTTTTCTCAGTCTGGTGCGTTATTTTTCACTACAAGATTCGACGCCCATCAGTCTCACTCTCGCGCCAAATGGAACAACCCTTCACTTACTCACCCCTCCCATCAAAAGGATGGTTCAGACTGCTGAGTATCCTCCCCTCGCATGACGAATCGTCTGAAATCTCCTGCGAGCTGCATCATCACGACCTCTCTACCTGCCCTCCCTATGAAGCCATCTCATACACATGGGGCAATGAAGATGCGACGAAGCGACTGCTGGTGAACGGAACTGTTTTTAAGGTGCGACCCAATTTACATGCAGCGCTCAAGGCATTTCGACAGCCTCGCAAGGCAAAACTCATCTGGGTTGACGCCGTCTGTATCAATCAGCAAGATCAAGGGGAGAGGAATCGTCAAGTTCTCCAAATGAACCAAATTTACTCTCAAGCTCAAGCCGTCGACGTCTGGCTTGGGACTGCAGACACAACCTCTGACGCTGGTGTTACTTTCCTGAAGACCTTTTATACACTTGTCTTCCAGGACCCAAGCTATCCACAGTCTCCATCGGAGGATGCACGCACGGCCACGATTTATCCAGATTCTACGCCCTTTCACGAGTTTTATGCGCCCATTCTAAAACTTCTCGATGACCCAGAAGCACTGACGGCATTCAATCATGCCGTAACATTACTCACCAACAGCTGGTGGAGGAGAATATGGACGCTGCAAGAAAGCGTCCTATGTCCCAACGTAATCTGCTGGTCTGGCTCAAAAACGTTTCCTTTCGAATATCTCTTGGGCTTGTCCCATTTCTTATACCACCTAGTGAACCATGATGCTCATAAAGGTGCACTGGCCCACAGAGACATGACTCTTGGTGCCCTGATGCTCGTCGAGTATCTGCGCAAAGACATGGTTGTTCACGGGAAAATCGGGCTGACAATGGCGCTCTACTCGACTTGGAATCGTGCGACTTCGGATCCGAGAGACAAGGTCATTGGTTTGTTGGGTATCATAGAGCCTCGCAATAGTCTCAAGCCAGAATACTCATGGCCAGTCGAGAAGGTGTATAGAGTGGCGATGAGAGCCGCGCTTATCGAAGATGGCAACCTCAACTGCCTTGGCCTGATCTCCGAGAAAAAGGAGTCTCGAAACAAGAACCTTGCTTCTTGGGTCCCTGACTTCGAACTCCACTCCGAGCCATTCAGGGACTACATAACTTCGCTGTCCAAAGTCCTCAACAAATGGTCGATCTACAAGGCCTTTATGAGCCCAGAGGGATCTTCTCCATGCATAGAAACAGATGAGGATGACAGTGTGCTGATACTCAAGGGCTTTTGTCTTGATTCTGTCTCCATTGTCGGAATTCAAGCACCGGGCCCTGATTTTGAGAATGTTGGCGAAACAAGCCCTGGACACTGGAGGAGCTCGATGAGAGACGCGCTAAGTCAATGGAGATCTTTGCTCCCACATAGTGATAGCTATGTAACAGGCGAAACTCAGGCTATGGCCTTCTGGAGAACAGTTCTGGTTGACTTGGACCAAGGCCGCCTAGCCTCAACGAAAGGAGGCCGGCCCAAAAGACTGGACGAGAATGGTCTACAGGATCTGTTGCAACTCGAAACCCCAGAGGGGATGGAAGCCTTGCTAAGCATATGGGAGTCATGTCTTCGACCTATATACCGCCAACTTCGATTGATTGAGCAGTTCAATCGGCGTTTTTTCAGGACAGAAAAGGGTTACATGGGATTAGGTCCGCCCGGTATCCAACCCGGCGACGCTATCTGCCTCCTGTTAGGCGGATCCGTGGCTCATACGTTAAGGAGGAGTGAGCACGAGACCTGGATCTACATTGGCGAATGGTATGTGCCATCCTTCTATCCATTTTCGATCCTAGCTGCTAAAGTGTTGTAGCTATATCCATGGCATCATGAACGGAGAGGCCGCTGTTGGAGCAATTGAAGAAAAGACCGACTTCGCCGAGTATCGTGTTGTCTAATCAGAGGGAAATTGGCCGTACATCGTCCACGCTATCTCAAACAGTGAGAAGAATCAGGTACGTTACGTTTATGACAGCCCAGTAAACTTTGAAACTAGGCATATTGGTATCTCGGTCTCAGAATGGAACTTTTATTCACTTCGCTGGGGCGTATTAATAACATATGAGAGCCTAAATGCTCTCTTCCGCTGGGTTGCTTTCGGCCATCTCAGTGCCTCGCAAAGTCCACGCAGACCGTCGCCTGTATGGTTGATGGATGGGGAAACCAAAGAGGCTCTTGATTTTGAGTTAAGTCAAGCAGCGATGGCCAGCCTTGTCCGTTGGAGTCTCTGCACCTCCCCCACCAATTGGGTGATATAACCTCGCAGCACGTTAGCTTGATGCCTTATCTCATCATGTAACATCTGATCCATTTCCATTTGAATCAAATATCGGTTCATCATCTCGTTGTAGGCATGTCCTTCCTCGTGCAGTAGGTCTAGATGCCGCTCAGCAATGGCCAACAATTCTTGCATTCTTGGCCGGTCAAAGTCTCCCGGTCCGACCAAGGCCATCATGAGAAACCTGACCCTTGACTTGGCCTGTAAAATATCGTCTTCTGGGCGTCGAGTTAAGGCAAACGCTTGCATGGCCCTCTCGGTTTTCCTAGGGCTGTTGCGTTGCAAAATCTCCTCTTTGTCCCGCAGCATGCCTCTCAAGAAATTGACTTGGGCATTGAGGATATAAATTTTGCGCTGGATGTCGAACCAATTTAGTTCATCGATTTCGACGTTCACGGGCGGTATTCGAGGGGGGTCCATGACGGATGAGTTGTCGCAAGTTCTACTTTGGGAGATAACGCGTGTCTATGCTATAGTTAGGAATGATGTAGCAAAAGGTCGTATTTGGACGACTCAACTCCACATACCTTGTCTTGTCCAGTTCAGTTCCAAAGAACTATGTAGAACCGAGGTTCCAATTGTGGTATGAGATTTGAACGCGAAACCTGTGACTGGGCGTCTTGTCTTGCGAAATCTCCTGGTAACCCGGTAGAGTCTGATCAAGGATTGAGCGACGCGTCTTCTTAGTGGTAGGCAAGGCTTGAGCTCGGGCAGTGTTGAACTGAGTACGCGGAAGGGACCCGGGGAGTTTCGCCCGACAAGTTCGGCAGTGAAGAATGTGTATGTAATGGAGTTGTTGGTCGGCGCGTGAACAAGTAGAGCATGAAGTAAATCGATGATGGTAAGCAGTGGAGATGAAAAGTCTGGAAAGCTTCGGAGATGAAGGACTCAAGAGACTTGGAGCTAAATTCGGCACGAATGTAGACGGGGCGAAAGAGAAGGAGGCTCCAAGATGTCTTCCAATGGCGTTGGGTGGATAAAGGAAGGAGGAGGAGGAGGAGGAGGAGGAGGAGGAGACGTGAAGTTGAAGGTACGAAGGTGCACTTGCTTGTGGCTCAGAAATCTTCATGTACTTCAATTATTGCTCACATGATGAGCTTCGAGCAATGTCTGGGAAGGACTACCTACGTCTGCAGAAGAGAAAGCATCGAGGGGAACCATGCTCAAAGCTCCCGGTACCAAGACAGCCAAGACGGCAAACCGACCACCAAAAGTACCAACACAAACAGCAGTAGTCCACGGCCTCCAGTCCACACCGACAATTCCTCGCACCGAAACCCATTACTGTCCTGGATGGAGAATGTGATTGCAAGAAATCCGCTGCTGTCCACCAAATGCGCGTCTGTGGGCAACCATTGTCTGCACTTCGAGGTTAGCCAAGGAACAAGAGGGGTCGAGGTGAAACTCACGGATCTGTATTGACGAGAGTGAGGGGCCTGATACGCCGAAAACTGAGGAGTAAGCTGCGAACAGTCAGCTTTTCTTGATCGACAGTCAATCTGTGACGATACTCACAAATCCATCTTGATGATTTCCTGTGCAGAAAAGAAGAAGAGGAGCTGTGACGCGAATTGGGCAACATGTCTTGAGACGTGGAAAACACCATCAGCTAGGAAAGTGCTAAGAAAGAGAGATGACGAACAGACCATCGCCTTCCTCGCCATCTATCCTTCCTGACCTCGAGGGAACCTGCAGTCGGAAGCCAGAGACTTTCTGCACCTCCCTTGGAGAGTTAAACCGGAGAGCATGCTCCGGTATGCCCAAGGTGACAAGCACCTTGAGCTGGAACTCACTGAATCATAGGGTGCATCACCTCATCGCGAGACGACAAAACAATCAGCAAAGATCGTGATCAGATTGATGCGAAGAGACCGACGAAATGCCCGACTTATAAGCGTTGAAAGCCTCAACATCCCACAGCGATTTCACATTGAAGTCGTGTTAGCATGTCTCGCAAAGTTAATGAGAGAATCATCATATCTAACAAAATTCTCTGGACTCTCTGTCAACTGATGTGCATGGTCAGCTTATTTGTGACGTCACACACCTTGACCAAGCCAACGCGAAGACTTCACGCTGCAAGCTTGCTTCTGACAACACTCACACAAACGTTCGATAACAATCCAAGCACCAAAAATATGGCGACATCGAGACCCAAAGATATTGAGCCCGAGAACCTCAGATTTGAGTTCCTTCTTCGTCATGTCGATGATGAGCCCTCGATTGCCGATGCACGCTCTCTCACCGAAGCTATTCGAAAATCCATCCAAACCGCCGTGAACTTTGCGGTGGTTGGTGAAGTCGGAGGTGCCACTAAGCTTCTTGAAATCCTTACGAGTAAAGGTCTCGATCCGTTCCAATACTCTGATTCTGAATATCCCTTCTTGAAGCCTTGTATGTTTTTCGCCTGGGAGGCAACGTCGTCTTGGCCTTCTTGGGTGCCTGAGGAGGAACGCACAGAAGAAAAGGTTCAAGAGCTTGAGATCGAAGGAAGAAAGCATTGTCTCGAGCGATTCAATCAGAAATGGGAGGTCACAGAAGAAACTGCCGAAAAGGCCTTAGACATGGCGTATAACGGGCTGACTACGAACTTACCCGACTACAATGGAACGCTCGCCGGACAGGTCATACAGGCAGAAGCAATGACTGCCAACGGTGACTTCTCATATTCAGCCAGCCCAAACGGCCCGATGGCTATTAGATACATGAAGATAGCCATGTGGTGGCGTCAAGGCATTTTCCCTTACCCATTTGTTCAGCTGTACCGCACCGCTGGGTTGATGATTGCCCTGGATATATACCTACGTCTTGGCAAAGACGAAAAGGCTCGAGAGCTATTTATGAAAGTTTGTGATCGTTTTCACACGGAAGAACAAGTTGAGCAGCTCTCCTGCTCTCGAGCCGCGTGGAAGCAGATCCTTGCTGTTCCCGAGCGGCCCCTTCTGGACTTTCTCAACATTCACGCAGCCAAGCTCCGGCCAGCCGTAACTCGTGCCTATCAAATGGCCGAGAACCGTCTGCAGAATGGACCGAGACGCCGATATGCTGACCAGTGCATCGAGAAACTGGTCCATATCATCAGCGAGAATACGTTCAAAAACTGCCCCTACGACAGGTTGGATGCCTATCGTCCCCGTGGTAACCTCCGGAATCGACCCCAGGATGCGAATGGCCTGCTTCGACGGGGATGTCACGTTTCGGGTATACGAGCTCTGGAGGAGCGACTGGGCGTGACTCTTCCTGAAGACTATAAAAAGTTCCTCAGCATCACTAATGGTCTTGATTCAATGTGGGATGGCCAGAATCTTGTAGACTACCTGGCTGGTGCCCAGGAGGTCAATTGGCAAGAGATCGACTTTCTCGAAGGCAATGAACTTCCTCTATTGAAGGACGGTGAGCCACTAGCATGGACGAAGAACATCCTGGAATGGCCCAAGATCGAAAAGCCTAGATGTATCTGTCTCTCGGGCGATATTAACCACGAAGAAAGGGCTGGCCATTTCTTCCTCATAGGTCAGGATCTCCTTCAGCCAGCCAAAGATTATTTTCTCAAGACATATGAAGAAAGGAATGACACTCAGCGTCGTGAGCTTGACCGACTTGTTCAAGAGACATACGGGAGCATGGAAACTTTCAGAAACCTCGAATGGGCACTGATTAGTTGGACTGCATGGGACTTTACTGTTTACCCGTATAATGGACTGCAAGATTTCTTGGAACAGATGGCTGAGGCGTCTTTGCGGCAGGAGAGGCCTTGGCTGAATATGTTTGAGCCGAGATTTAGAAAGATGGCAAACGCGTGAGTCTGAGAAGTCAATGTTAGCTTTGGTTAGGAGCCAGGTTTGGAGTGACACAAATACTGACACAAATCACTCGCTGATTATGGTTACCTCGACCATGGCCTTGGCTCAAAGCCAACAAAACCTAGCTCTGAATTCAATAAAGAAAATGGGTTCTAGTGTGCTAAGTTCTGTCTCTGAATCATAGTATTATATTCATAAGAGTATGGCTTTCAGTAGACGATGTGTGATGTCATGAGAGCAAAATTATAGGTGCTCGCCAAATAGCTCCATCTCCTATCACGCTTAATCTTAATCATCTTGCACTGAATCATATATCAGGAAAGGGTATAAATATCGGACCATTCATTCGCAGAACCTTTCGCATCCCAAACAAACACTTTAAGACCAATAAATCTCCTTCGAATCGAAGCCAAATAATAGTTCAGCGTACAGAAACCACCTTTGGACCGTTAGAAATGTGTATCAAGGTGCAAAGAAAGCATTCCTGCAGAAAGTGTTACCATCACCTCAAGGATGATTGGGACGACGTTCCCTGTGCCAAGGCGAGGGAGAAGGGTGGTGCCATGGGCGCTTGCGGGATTCCGGCGTCGGGCCAGAGGAAGGAGATAGAATCCATATGTGACGAGTGCTTGAAGAAGCAGAAGAAGACGCGAGGTCAGTGAGGTCAAGCGTGAGCAAGGATATCTTGGCCCAGCTGTAGACCTCTATAGTCTAGTTGTCACCGAGGACTCAAGTCCTCGCTACACATAAACACATCGAATAGCACTGATGGTTAGTTCCCTACTTCTCTTATCCCGTGACTCGTGCATCTCTAGTATCGTGAATGACATTTGGTACTGATACTAGGTGAGGTCGAGAGCTGCGCATTTTGGATGATGGAAGCCACTTTATTCATTAGCGTGCTTTGTGTCAGCGTGGGGGAAATTATAATCGAGACGAAATGATGTTTTGTTTACTGATCGAAGGCTATTTAGCGTCATGGTTCATTTGTGATTCACTATACATAGATCTCCAACCAACACAATACGGCTCATCCTACCTTAAGCACGTCATCACGCCGCACCATCACAACAAGACAGAAGGGTATAACAGTGAATGGAGAACAGGCTATCAGTCCTGCTTCATATTCTAGACGTCTGGCTTCCAACCTAAATAGAACCGCTAACACAATGATATTGACATGTCCGAGCTGCGCTCATGCCACCAGCTTTGGCTGACCCAGAATCACATCAATGACCTTATGGTCGTCATAAGTGGCAACAGTTCGCTCACACAAAGCTGCGACACGCTCCTTACTTTGGAGGCCATCTGGGCAAATGAGCCAGATTACATTGGTCATGAATGATCGCTTGTACTCGAGCATAACCTCAGGGTCGTTATGCCGATCAAACTTGGGACCTCCAAGTTTATGAAGTGTCTCAAGATAGTGATCCAATATCTCCATCTCATGGGCTCTGCGATCTTCCACGCTGAGCATAGCCGTCATGTGATACACAACATCGTGGAAGCATGAACCAAAGTGGAACGCTGACCAGTCTAGGAAGCCGATGCGGTTATCAGCTGTGAAATAGATGTTTCCGATGTGAGTATCCCCATGGAGCAGGGTTCGGAAACGTGGGTTTCGCTCAGCGTAGTAGCGATCTAAGGCTTCGTTACATCGAGCCCCGTCCATTAGATACTCCGGAAGCTGGGGACGGCCGGGTCTTCTAACCACTTCGTCCCACGATCTGCACATGAATGTCATGGCAGGATCGTAGTTGTTCCAGATCCCTGTAAGATTGTGAGACATTGGTAACGGAAACATTCACAAAGGTTCTTACATGGATGGTCCTCCTGACTCTGGCCCCAGTACTGAGCATGCAGACCTGCCAGCTGCTCAACACCGTTCTTGACTTTGTCGACCGAATATGAAGCAACTTCAGCCGGAAAAGTGCAACCTTCGCTGACAAGATCGTTCATGATTGCAATTCCCTGCTTCTCGTCTGTTCCACTCCACCAACCTCTTGGAAAGATCATATGGTTGACGTTCGGAGCAACCTTACTGAAGAACTCTGCTTCTCGTTGGGCCAGACTGACGGTCCATGGCTGAGCCTCGATCATCTTGGGATCAAACACTCCCTTGACGCAGATATTGACCGGCCTTTCTTGATCTGTTTCATTTTCGTAGGTAATATTGTAGAACAGCTTACTTGCGGTTCCCCAGATGTTGCGGGTATTCTCTATTGATTTGATCTTGTGCCCAAGCTTCGCACTGAACCACTGGGGAATCAAATCAGAGGGGAGAGTGGGGAGTTGCTCGGGCGTTGATTCAGACATTGCTGCAAATATTTCCAGTTTCTTATGTTCACTGCTTGTTTCGTATTGGTGCTGGCTTATAAGGCAGTCAGCATCTGACTCTCACTCCTGCAACCTCTTTTATCCGGATCATCAGCCAAGAGAGGGGTGTCAGCATTGATTACGTACATGCATCCGAATATTACCAAGTGCTTATTGAGAAGTGAGTTATTATCGCCAAACAAGAGCAATAGATGGGGAATGTATCCTGCCAAGAAGCTTGACTGGATAGGTGTCCTGAACACGGTTAGTCAGTGTAAGAGCGGAAGTTGGAGACTGCAACAAAACAACTCAACATTGTTACGGAAGAAGCTAAGCTCACCGAGAAATTCGGTCTTGAACCAATGCGCGGATTTCCCGGGTCCGGGTCATTTGCAGAGTGCCATCAAGAGTGGATTGCACTCGGGCTGCGACCCATGGCAAGCCAAGGAGATTCATTGCGCAC